GAGAGAGAGAGAGAGAGAGAGAGAGAGAGAGAGAGAGAGAGGGAGAGGTGGAACAGAGGGATACAACAGGAGAGGAACTGTTGAGGGAGGTAGTCTAGTACAGCAAGGGAGCAGAGAGAGAGAGTGAAGTGGTGGGTGAAAGTAGAGGAGACAGAGGTGTGAGTCAGGCGTGAGGACAGAGCGAGAGAGAAAGAGCTCAGAGAGGAGAGAGGAGAGAGAGAGAGACAAAGCAACAGTGCTGACGGTAAGATATTTCATAAGGTAAGTTAAAGCTCAGTTTAGTTTGATTTCCAATAGAAAAAGAGTTAAAGGGGGGGAGCATATTGCTAGAATAGAGGTGAGGGAAATCAGCTGTCTGCTGACGCTGACCTACTTCACATCTCGCCTGTAAGGCAAAGTGATTTTAACTTCATCCACTAGTTGTGTTAGAGATGTCACACATTTTTCAACCTCGTGGTATATTGTTGAACTTGTAAATGGCGAATGTTAATGGGGGCAGTTTGTTAAGATGGAAGAAAGAAGTGTAGCCAAAAAGCTTTTATAATAGAGACACTGTTCTCCTTCTGTGATGCTCAATCTTACCTCGTCCCCCGGTAACCCGGTAAAGTGATCACAAACTGATTGTTGTTCATGTTCACTAAAGTGTGTGTTGTCTTGTCAAGTATGAGTAGTTAAAATGAGTCCTAAATCCACCGTTAGTTTAGTTAATCAACGTTTAGCCAGTTTAAGAAAATACATCATTAATTGCAGAATGATGTGATGCTGTATCGATGATATTCTGCTGTGAACTGACCTGCATAATGTAGTTTAATATTTTATTGGTCTTCAGTAATGACTACTTTGAGTCTTGCATACTTTTAAAATGATATTTATCATATGAATATTCTATGTAGTAGATATAGTAACTCTTCAGTGGATGACTTTTGATGCTTTAATAATGTGCCTTTTATCTCACAATTTCAGCAGCTTTATTCTAATGATTCATTCTAAAGTTTTGCTCACAATCGAGATGCATGTTGTTGAAATGGTTAAGAAAAAAACCCTTTTTAATTAAGTTAGAATTATTGATCTGGTTAGCTTTGCTGGGTGTCTGTTTGCTCTTGGTGTTTCAGATGTGACGGGTTTTACTCTTCGGGTTTATCCACATCTTCAGTGAACCTCTTCTTGGAACTGTCCCCGGGCATTTCTAAGTAGAGCCCTTTAAATCCTGATAAATTCAGCCTATTATCGTACTTTTAGTTTATTTACTTTTGAAATACAGAGGAAAGGTTGGTTTTTTTATTATATTGTTTTTGCTTTTTCTGAAAATTTAAATTAAATTGTTGGCAGTTTAATATTTTTCAGTTGGTCAGCAGCTTATTCTTTTTTTTTTTTTTTATTTTGGCCCAGAATATTTTAGTCGTGCTGGTTAAACAGAACACATTCCACATCTGCTTTGCTGCCTCTGCGTATGCGTACTCTGACACTGGATCAGCATCATTGGGTGTGATGTGAGAGAGCACCTCTCGGTGTTAAAGCAGCACCGTCAGAGGCTAGTTGTGAGGATGTAACACATTAACAGCATTCAGTCAGTCAGTGATTGAATTATTGATCGGCTGATCATTGATTGGAGCTAAATGCTCATTTCCAGCCCTGCCAAGTTGCATTTAGTTGGTAACAATTGCACCGCTTAAGTGTGAAAGTTTAAACTAATCCAAACTTTTTGATTTACTTTTCTCTTGTTAGATCAATAAACTAAATAAACCAAAAATGTAACAAAAAAACAGTACAACTATCACAACGTGATCTTGCAGATCATATTTCTTGTATATAGGAGTGGTTCAGCATAATTATGTAGTCCAGTAAGATCTAGCTCTGAAGCGTGGCAGAATCTCTCCTGTAATATCCATATTCAGTCTTGTGCTGACCAACGACGAGTGTTTTACCAACTTGTCATTCTTCTTCCAGAAGCTGGGCCGTGACCCGTCCGATGAAGACTGCTTCTTTGACCTCCTCAGCAAGTTCCAGAGCAGCCGCATGGACGACCAGCGCTGCCATCTTGATGAGCCACAGAACGGAGACAACGGAGAAGGCGCCGCGAACTCCGTGCCGTCCCTGAACGAAATAATAGGTTGGTTGAGAACAGTATTCCCATACCTGTTTGGTCCTTTTTTATTTGCTATTTTAAGGACACATGAACTCCTTTTTGATAACTGGACTCCTCTGTATTCTTCTAGATCCTGCAGTCACCACTTCCCCCCAGACGGAGGAGCTGTTTGATTTGATTGCTAGCTCCCAGAGCCGCCGTCTAGATGACCAGCGGGTTAATGTTGGGAACCTACCGGGACTGAGGATCACTCATAACAATCTGGGACACCTGGTGGGCGAGGGAGATCATCAAGAACCCAGCGATGACTTCTTCAACATGCTTATCAAGTGCCAGGTGAGGCCACAACTTAAATGACAAAAGTCAAGGGTTCACTCCTCTTTGATTCCTAATTCTCAGTCTTATAATTGACATTGTCGTACAAGGAGTATGCCGCAATCTCGGTCACATTTGCTTCTACACTCTAAATGTATCTGTCTCTCTGTCTGTAGTCCTCTAGGATTGATGATCAGCGGTGCTCCCCACCAGAAGCTGGCCCCCACGCCCCCACAGTGCCTGACGAAGACTTCTTCAGTCTAATCCAGAGGGTGCAGGCCAAGCGCATGGACGAGCAGCGCGTCCACTTGCCCTCGGACGACCAGGACGACCCTCCATCCCCTGATCCTGAGCCGCCTGGTGGTTTTTCCAGCTAGGACTTGGTGAATAATGCTGCAAAATTTCATGTCAAAAGAAAATGCAAGCGGAGGAAATGGAAAGAGGGACGAGCCAACATTTTAAGGAACGGCACCGAAGGGTGAACTAACAAGATTTTTAATAACAAGACAAATTCCATGTGCAATAGGTGGTGGCCTGTCAAATGTTGCTCAATGTGTTGTGTTCTAAATGTGCGTTAATATAAGGGGAAAACAAGTAGAACTCAAGCTCGATGGTGTAAGAAGGTAATACATTTGGGATAACATGAGACAAACATGAACTAATGTACTCGATCTAATGCCTTAATCAGACTCAAGATTGTATTCCCTACTGTCAGATGTGTTCTGTAGAGGCACATGATGGGCATACAGTGTAATATGGACGATTAATGAGCAGAGCTACAGCACGAGTTGTGGGAATCACAAAGATATGATGATAGTAACTGTTGATGAAACATCAGAGAAATGACAGATTTGCACAGAAAATCTTAACCAGTTTTATAAAGATATGAAATATAATGTGTATACCAAGTGTCTTTATCAAACAAGTTGAACTCTGATCAATAGTGCTTTATCATTCACTGTTTGTGGTTCCCGCTGCTCATAGACAACTGGTGTTATTTGTGCAGTAACAGTATTAGGACTCATCATCATCCAGTGAAACTGCTTTGGTCAGTTTAAACTTTCCACTGATTGATAATCACGCTCTATTGATTCCTTTTCAAATAGACAGACTGAGTGAAATATGACTTCCCACATAAATGTTATTTATGTGCATTTGTGCGAGGATTCAAGCTCCGGCTATGTGTTTCTGCTTAGCTTTGAAAATAATGCAATCTGCTGCCCACAACGTTCGCAACATCTGATAACAGACTACTGCTTACTGCCATTATTAGCATCACTTAGCATAGATATAGAAGCAGATGGATGTGTCATATTGTGACGAATCTAATACCGTGAACAATATTGAAGCACTACTTCTAGTGTGCTGCCTCCCTGTGGTCAGAGCCCTGTATTACCTCTGTGAAATACAGAGTACTATTTGGGGTGAAAGGCGTTCCCTACATCTTGAATATTTGTAGGACGACATTATAATAATAATATTGCCACACACTACAAGTATGACGATTCTGAAAACATTCCTCTGGTTTCAGCAACAGTGTTTTTGCCAACTTGCCAAGCATCTCATAAAGGTCACAGTGTATCGTTTTAGTTCAGTTTCTATATATTCTTTGCCATACAAGTTCCCAAATCAGCAGGAGAGGTACAAACTGCAGAAAGTACATTTTAATCGGCTAAGAGTTTGAAACTTTTTGCCGTGAAGAGCATCTGTATAATGTTACTGTGCAGAAAGAAGTGGACCTTGCCTCTGGGCTTGGTTTTTATTCTTAAGTAGTGCATACCTCAATTTTTGTACCTCAAAGCTCCTGAACTGAGATGTTGAGTTCTGAACCAGGATGGATCATGTAGCAGGGTCTCAGTGGTTGTTTGATTCATCTAACTTTCATAAAGAACACATTGGGAGCTAAAGTAAATATTTTCATTGTTTTTTTTTTTTTTGTGAATTAACAAAAGTACTTTGTACGCTTCTATTTGTCTTTGCCATAATTTGTACATGTAAATATATTTTGTATTTATGTTCCATATGAGGACATGAATATGTCCCCTCATGCTTTTAATAAAATGTTTCAGATGTTTATTTGGGTTCTATTTTTTTGTTTTTTGGCACAATTATGAATAGTGTCATTACAGTATCGGTACACATCAACTCATAAGGAAAATGACATGAGCAACACTGACCTCGATAGCACAGAGATATCATCACATTCACTACGTTGGAAAATAAATGGATTGCCCCAAACTCTAATCCTTAGAACAAAGCACGAGAGGCTGACCAAACATCTTGGTTTACTTCCAGTGTGGTTGCATCACCGTGATTCAGTCATTTATTAAAAGGCAGAGATGTGTATTCAGCACTTTTCATTGTTATATTGACACTTTTCTTTTTTCTGACCCTTATATTAAGTCATGTCTAATTTATCTCAATTCTCTCAAATCACAGTCACTGACTCTTAGAATAATTACTGTATTACAACAAAAACCGTGCCATGACATATTTCCCCTTTTCAATATTTTGCTGGGTTTGAATAATAAGTGTTGCGTGAAATGTTAAATATAAAACACTGTGCACAAAATTACCTGAACTAATGACTTGCGGTACCCTTCTTTTTTTTTTTTGTTTTTCTCTCGTGCCTCCTCTTGTCCATCCTGTCTCTGCCTCCCTTCCTCTTTCACATCCATGCTCTCACTCTCCTTATGTTTGTGCTTCCTCCTCCTTACCCAGAATGCAACGCCGGCTGAGCAGGCTCAGCAGAGCTATAAAAAGGCATAGCAAGGGGGAGGGAGGGCTGCCGTGCAGTAGGAACTGTGCAGACACACACACACACACACACACACACACACACACTGGGATCCAGGGACGGCAGCCCCTTTGCACTGGGATCTAGAGCCACAGCGCGAAAAGAGAGGTCAGTACAGAGGACAAAGGCTCTATAGAAGAAGCATGAAATGACAGAGAGTGGGTCTGACTGTCAGAGGGAGTGTCAAATAGAGAGATGTCAGAGAGAAAGAATGTGGGCAGGTCGGTTTGACGGGATGGAAAGTGAGACTAACAGACTGTAATGGTAAACTGTCATCTGGTTTCTCGGGAATCTTTGGTGAGCGAATGCTGTTTAAAATGGTTGACATTGTCAGCAGATCAGGCATTTCTGCATAGAGCAAAGGCACGAAGCTCTACTGAGATGACACTCAATGCATGACATAATTATTTTGCAGAAACAAATGTGTAATACCATCATTGATTCTTGATTTTCTTTTCCTCCAGACATTAAATTTGCATATGGTTTGCCTTCTCTCCAATAACATGTCAACATTATCCTCCACCTACACCCATTAAAGGCTGTTTTCATGCAGCTAGCCTTTTAATTCCACTGCCAATGTTCTAGCCCCAGTAACAGTCATTAACAACTGAATAGGGGCTGAGTACTATTGATTCTTGTCAGTAGATGGCACACATTTAAGTGAACCAAAGCTTGCCATTTGGAACACAAACACATCCACAACAGCCACAGCTAACGCAAACATTATCTCGCTCCATCCTTTCACAAACATAATGGAATATCTCCCACTGCACTGACGTCAAAGGATCCCCTGTTCTCCCTTAAAGGAACAGTACGCTCTATTAATTTGCAGAGTGCCTTGGTTACGGTACACAGAGAGAATGCAGTGCACTAATAGATCATGTGCTCAGTACTTTTGTTTTCACTCCTGTTGCTTATACGGGCAGTCAGTGAAAGCTTCATCCCCATGTGCTTTTTGAGAATGGTTGACACGCTATCCCTTAACAGCTGAGTCTTTTTTTAGCAAGGCCAAATGTTAAAAAACAGTAATAAGACATGAGGGTGGGACGGGTGACCCATATTGGGTTGGGGGTTGTGGTGAGTCCAGGATCTCTACATACAAAAATCACATGTTCAAATGTCTCTCCATGTATCAGGTGTCATTCTGTATTAACAGCGCACTTGTCACATGATGCCACATTATTTATGCAGTAAGAGATTTATAAATGTGAAGGGAAACAATATGGATCTAATCCTACAGCACATTCATAGGCTTTGGCCACAAATTGATGAAGTCCAGTTCAAACATCTTGCCACATCGATTTCCTTTACTGATACTGATCCAGTACGGCATTCTGTTGGGATGTGTATTAGCACTAATGCGCTCAAGCAAATCCATGTAAAGTTTCGTTGCATGGTAGATTTCCATTCCACAATTTCATGCAGCATTGAGTGCAATTCCCACACACACCGAGAGCCATGTAATCTTGTTTGCACCCTATTAGAACCAGAACATCTATCACATGCCAAAGAAGCATGGGGACCCTCAAGATGGCACCATAATAGGCCAGAGAGGGATTCCTAAACCGGCTCTGTGCTGACTCAGATACCAGCCTTGAAGTGACCTTTACACGGACGACAGGGTTAAAGGCCGATGACATTAAACTGGACACCTGAGAAGCAGCAAGCTGGTAGCATTTGGTGTGTTACTCTGCTAAAATATAGCTTAAAGTTGAACCAGGAAACGTGCATCAGCACTGGAAAAATCTATCATTTGGACCATGTATAGTGTAATATAACTATATTCTTCCACTGCTGCAGTCTAGCTGCAATGAAATAACACACCTTTCTGATACCGTACTTTCATTAAAGCATGTTTGTCAACCTGGCTTGTGACAGATTTGATTAAATAGCAGGCATGTGGCAGTGAGCAAACAGCCACATTGTCACCAGGTCAAATTAATTTGTATTTCTTATGAAGTAGGGCAAAGAAAAATATGCAGGGTGTAGAAATACCCACCAAGACTTAGAGAATAAGTCTAAAATCCCACGATAATACTCAAAATGTTTAATACCGCACCTATAAAGAGATCTGTAATTATAACTGTGTGCAGTATGTTCTTTCTTCCCTGCTGACCATACCAAGATACTCCTATCCAAGCGGGACCATGTAATCTAAGAAGTCAGTCCTTTACCCCAACTGTCACAAATCTGGTTTCACAAAACCCAGACCAGCAACTGCTCAGGTTACTTCATGAATGTACTGCGCATGTGTGGAAGATTTAAGTAACCCAGTTGGCAAAACTGGAATGTGTACGGAAAGGTGAATATCCCTGTAACATAACAATAAGATACAGATAATTTACATTGACTTTATGTCTCCAAATTAATTCCAAATGTCAGACGGAAGTAGCTGTATTGAAGGTAACAAATGTATTTAGAATACATGCAAAATTGAGAGCAGGCCTCCTCAAATGTGACCTATAGAACGTCTCGATGGTCAGCGCAGACACAGGCAACACTTGGTGCTTATTTTGGCACATAGGCACCACCTGTTGAGCCAAATCTTAAAGTTATTTAAAGTCGGTTCTTTCAAACACACTCGTTATCAACCCCGGGGCACATGACACAGGCAAGCATTTGGAGAAGGTATCTATTTACACATGCCAGCAGCGATGACTCCCTTGGTCTCCTCCTTCCTTATCTTTAAGTCAGCTAGAAGAGAAGTGTAAACAGGAAACCACGCGGTCTTTTTTTAGATATATTCAGTACTGTTAACACAGAATTAATCGGCATTTCCTGTCTCAATCAACTAGCGCTAGACTAGAGCCTTTTGTCAGTGGTGAGACACATTGGAAAAGCCACCTTACTCACGGCTCCAATTCTGCAAATGACAAAAACACAATCAACAAAGTGTCCCTTGCCTTTTCTGACCTTGTGACAAAGACACCGAGCTTTTCACAAGATACAGAATGTTAGTTCATCCGTTCAGCAATGGACTCTCTGAATAAAGTGTAACTGCCTTTAATTAAAAAAGATCTGCTGCTGTGAACTTATTTGCTCTTCTTTGTCCTTTTCTGTCTTTTAGTTGAAGGAAAATACTCATCTAACGCAACACAATGGCAGGTAATTAATATATCATGCAGGAGATTGATTGATGATGATTAATGATGCACTGAGTTAAAATATAGCAGAGGCAGACTTGTTGTGTTCTCTTAAACTCTACTGCCCTCTTATGGTGGTTGTTGAGATTACAGCGGAGGTCTTGCATTTTAAATTTTATGAAAACTGCACTTAGACATGATATTCCTTTAAAAAAAAAACATTGCTATGATAATGCATTTAATTAATAACACAACATTATACCATTATTATAATTATATAACAATATAGCTGTACACATTATTATACTATATAGTTAAGAACATATCAAAAGTTTGTGGTTTCTTTTCGTTTTTTGCACTTTTGTTTAATTTATAACTCATACTTTCCCTGTTCCCTGTGAACAGTTGTACCCGATTAACTAAAACAATCAGGGGACAACAGTTGCCATAGACACACTGTTTGAGTAATTGCACAAACCTACACAAGCTAGCACAGTCATAACAGGCTAGTGGAGTGGGCAACACTGTGTTGAAACTCAAAATAGGAAGTATATGTACTACTGATGATTCAACTGAAGGCCTTTCCTCCACATTTGACTGTCGAGATGGTTTGTTACAAAAATTTTTTACTCGTGAATTTTCTTTGTCTATTTTTTTGTTGTTGTTTGAAAAAAAGTTGCCATATCACATGTACGGACTCATAATTTTTGTTTGTGCTCATTTCAGACAAAATTAAAGATGCTAAGATCATCTTTGTTGTGGGTGAGTACATTAAGGCGGAATTTCTGTCTAATTTAGCAACAAAACACTGCTAAAAAACAACATTCTCCCTTGTGCTATACCAATGCTTTTTGTCCGTCTTCTTCAGGTGGGCCTGGCTCTGGAAAGGGCACCCAGTGTGAGAAGGTAGTCGCAAAGTATGGCTACACCCACCTGTCATCTGGGGATCTGCTCCGCGCTGAGGTGTCTTCTGGCTCTGAGAGGGGCAAGCAGCTCCAGGCCATCATGAAGAAGGGAGAGCTGGTGCCCCTGGTAAGAGATATGATCTAATGCGACACTCCTGCATTACCTTCACAAAGTTTATAATGTTCAGTTGTGTTGAAACTGTGTTCGAGAAGTGATTAGTCAACCTGATTTATGATCATTTTGGAGGATGTAGTTTGTGGTGCTGTTTAACTGCATTATAGAGGTGCTTTTCTTATTTAGCCTACCCCCATTGATATTAATGGGGAGACAGAATCTGTCAGCATAATAAACTAGCAACTGAGTGTATTTTCTATCAGAAGAGCCATATTATTGCGAAGGTTGATCATAATGCCTTGGGTCTGTTTTCAGGACACGGTCTTGGACATGATTAAGGACGCCATGATCGCCAAGGCTGATGTGTCCAAGGGCTACCTTATTGATGGCTACCCCCGTGAAGTGAAGCAGGGAGAGGAGTTTGAGAAGAAGGTAGGTGCCTATAGCAGAGGGCATGAGGCTTTGTTCTATAATTCATCCCTGCAGAACAAAGGAAAACATTGAACGAGCAAACTATCTTTGATCCCAGATCGGCAAACCCTGCCTGCTGCTGTACGTTGACGCAAAAGGAGAGACCATGGTGAAGAGGCTCATGAAGCGCGGTGAGACCAGCGGCCGCTCTGATGACAATGAGGAGACCATCAAGAAGCGCCTGGACCTGTATTACAAAGCAACTGAGCCGGTCATCACCTTCTACGAGAGCCGCGGCATCGTCAGGAAGGTGCCTATGCCTGCTACTGTGTGGTAGCAAACATTTTAAATTCAATGTGAGATGTTTGTAAAATCTAACATGTATTTTATTGATCCTAGGTTGACTCTGAGCTCCCAGTGGATGAGGTCTTCAGCCAAGTCTCCAAAGCTATTGATGCACTGTAGTAAAACAACATAGATGAGCTGTGTCTGGTTGTTGTTTTATTTTTTTTTATTTCATCAGTATAAATTTCACAAACACATAACATGAACAACGACTAATTTAATACCCTAACCACTATTCTTGGTCGTTAAAGATCAAAGATGCCTTAAGTAGGAATCTACAAATTCTTGGAATGAATCTGCTTAAAGCGGCATTGGAAAATCCATTTGTGTCTTTCTTTAAGTATTGATTCTGTTCTGTGCTAAACTCGTAAGTGGATGTATCCAAGTGACATCTCAAAGGGTACTACTGTATACAGGAGGTGTGGACCATCTCCTAACCTTTAAGGCACCATGCTCACGCTCTGGGGCAAACCTGCACTTTACACAATCTTGTTTCCAACTTTAACCCTACCATATAGAATCCGGAGTTTATGGGAAAGTATTAGAGTCCTTTATGATTGTGCCATTCAACAATAGCAGAGATCACCCACTGTGGGCAAACTGTATACATGTACATTCACAGAACTGTCAAATTACTTTTCTCAACCACCATTGACATCATACATTATTTTCTATTAATCCATTTATAACTATATTTAAAGCACAGAAATCTATATTTTTTTCCCATCAAGATGCACACATGTAACATGCTGGTGTATAAAGTGGTATATGTGAAAAAGAAGAAAAAATAAAATTAAAGTATATGGGAAAGCAATGATATTTGAATTAGTTTATTAGCTGCAACCGTGTTTGTAAAAGATGGAATTTCCAATGACATGCAATCTATATTTCTGCACTGGTTGACTGTAGGCAGACTGAAAGTGTGAGTAATCCTGGACAAACATGTACACAAACAGACATCATGGCTGAAAAGGAGAAAAGCATTGCTATTTAGACAACATGGTCAAGGTGCTGCAGAATGTAGACACAACAGGATGCCGGACACGCTGCTACATCCACAGTTCACTCCTGTTATTATAACTTTTCCTTTGAGCCCATGATGACCAACATGTCTTCCTTTACCTATCACCTTCCTCACACACACACACAGGCACAGACATGCACACACACACACACACACACACACTTCCAGCTGGCCAAGCAAACACTGCAACAGGTATCCGGTGTATCCCCAAAGGAGAGCTCTGATCATGGCTGCGCTGTGGGGATGAGGAAGAGGAAGACGGCTTCTGAAGGGGGACAGGATGTGTCCATCGGAAAGTCAATCAAGAAAAGGCGTCTGTGAGCACTTTCATAAAGCGATCGAGGATGCTGCTTGAATGCTAGGAATGCAGCTTTTACCTAATAAAGGTACAAAACAAAGGGGGAAGAAAGGAGATGGCGGTCACGTAGCAGAGAGAAAAAGAAAGAGACACATGTCTGCGAATGTGGGGGTGAGAGGAAAACAATGAGTCGACGTGCCACTGTGTGTGGACTTAACTAAGTCCCGCAATTCAGGTATTACAACCTATGCTAACTTATACTGCATTTAGTTTTGAAGACGATCCCTTGAACCGCCAAATACAGAACATTAGAGCATTCAAGACACAAGACAACTCACTTACAGCTCCTATGTGTACGATTAGTTAAGGCAGACAGCCCTGGGCTACACCATTTAAAATTTGGTATAACATTCTCATCTCAAATTGAATACTCATCTCATTAAATCAAAATAAAGCAATGCAAAGGAATAATATAGGACCAATAAAGGATCGGGAGAATATTAAAATGTTTAGATCTTTCAAAAATAGCAGATGATCAATGCATTCACTTTTTGTCAAGGAAAAAGCAACCAGATGTCTAAATGATGGGACCCATATGGTTAAAAAAAGCCCACATTTAATCAACTTTTTTTTATTCATCACAAGTAGATAGGCGTCAACTAAATAATTTATGTTTCATCTACCTTCGGAGTTAATGGTTAAATCTTTGAAATACGTTTAATAATCAAATTTGCAAACGTAACCTTCTGTGAGAGGCATTCCAAGGCAGATAAGATCAACCTAAAAAATATGGAATATATAGAATTGTGTGCACTTACGTACATGTAGCTGCAAAGTCTGACATAATTATTGTGGCACGAAGCAGCTAAAAACAACCAAACATGTTGTACGGTTACACAACATATATGCATGCATACATGATGCTTTTGTTTCGGCTGTAAAAGGAGTGTGCCAAAATGTAAATACAATTAAATAAATTTACATCTCTGTGAGTAAGAAAGGCTGGTAGGCTAAATGTAACCTGGTTACGCAGTATCTCGTGGGAATCATCTGGGCTACCAGTGAGTTATTCATCCGAGGGTGATACGGGGACATTCATAGCTTGAAACATGGCTGTCTTGCTGAGAAAATAATCCCTTTTCAGACTGTCACAGACAATTACATGCAGCCTTGTGGCTCCAATGTAAACTGAACCAGGATCGGCCACTTAACAGAATGCTAGCTGCTTTTATTTTTATGCAAAGATGGGATGTTTCTCAGGCCCTGTCAATTAGCTGCCTTGTGAAAATGTAAGTGTAAGTTACTTTGTAACGGCTGACAGGCCTCTGTTCATCCAGGTTCAGTCTCGGATATTACCGCTGCAAGTGAATGCGTCAGATCACCCCCCCTTGGAGGACGATAAGTAAACAAGTAAACTGGCACACACACTTTATTCTCTCCCCCCCCCCTCCCTCTGCTATAGACTGCAGAGGGCTGGCAGGCACCACAGAGACCCAGTGGCACCGTGCGGGAACCAACGTCAACCTGCGATGAAAGACGATGGCCGATTGTTTCCTGTTATTGAAACACTACTCATGGGTGGGGGTGGAGAGTCGAGGGGAGGCTCCAATAAAAAAGGGAAGCCAGTGAAAGAGAGTGCTACTGTAGAAGTGTTAGCCTCAGATGTGATGAAGTACCTTGAATACCATGAATGAATGCCAGCCGTGACATAATGCCTCAGCAACTTAATACACGTCAAGTCAACTGTTAGAGGATTGCAATCATTTCAGTAACACGGAGTACAAATGTGTCTCTACTTGGTGTCGTATCCCGTGTGCATTTCTTTGTTCGTGCTGCCAAGAGGAATGAGGTCAAGGCAAGTTCACAGAGTCAATAAGAAGAATGTCAAGTAGTCTCAGGAAACTCTATGTACAGTGCAACTGTTGCAATGCACCATGGGATTGGAGCACTCTTACATGTAAATTAGTCCAATTAGTCGTTAAGCACTCATGATGTGCAATCATGGATTAACTAGATTAGGCCTGTTGAGTGTCTACAGTTCGAGTGCCCATTGAGATCAATTTCAAATGATGGTGGCAGGTGTATTCTTCTTTACAGTATCCTGTACATGTGAATTGTTTGCTAAAATTGAGCAGTTTAGTGCTTAATTAAAGTGGGTGTTATTACACTGGCGACCTTCTTAAATATCTGCTACAAAAAAACCCACTAGATTTGTTCATTAGGTGTCCTGGTTGACGATGCCAATAAAGAGTTTGAATTAGAGCCATGACACTTGTTGTGACAACGCTTTACATTACTTTGCACCTTCGTGATTTACCGTACTTCACTGATTCTGTAACACGCTGTTTTTGTTTTGTCCTGCAGCTGCACTTGGTTCCTGTTTCATACATAGTAAAGGAGACTTCAAACACTCCTTTCAACTTTTTTTTACTGAATATAGAATGGAAGTTGATGGAGAGACAGCTTGGTGCCAGCGTTGCTGTTAATAAGTGCAACACATGACACACACACACGTGGAGCAAAATTAGAGAGAGAGAAAGAGAGAGAGAGAGAGAGAGAGAGAGAGAGAGAGGGGGGGGGGGCAGAGTTGCTGTTTGATAAATTTGCTTTGCTGCAGCACTTTTGTTGTTATTCTAAATGCTTTTGTGGCATTGTTGAAGTGTAGTCCATACGTTTGTTTTTCTTCTCTCTTACTCCTTGTTTCTGCCAATAGACTTTGTGTGGAGAGTTGATTTTACGGGATGATGACTCCTCGGAGTCTGTTCAGTGCAGAAAGGATGTTATGTCTACTCTTTGTTCCACTCAATTTTCCTCACAAAGTACTAGTGGTGCGTGGTACTGCATATAAAATGCTGTTCCTTCAAAGGACATTTTTTGCATGTTCTCATTTTTTATCAGGATAAATCAACCAATAGTATAGATCAAAATATTTGTTGTAATATATGGATACAACATTATGATATGAAACAAAAATTCTAACTTAGATTTTTAAATCTCCTAGTACTCCCAAGGAAGGGTTGTTAGGCAGATTGTTCAGTACACATACCATTTACATCTAGTGAGGTCAAAGTAAATACACTAATCTCAACACACCCACGGTGCACCCACACATGGTGATTTCACTTATTCGGGGTGATTGGGCCTCCTCTCCACACAACTTCAACCGAGGGAGAGGTCTAATCAGAATAACTGAAAACACCTGTGTGAGTGTGAAAGGTATTTGTATCCGTGAGAACATCTCTCTTACTGTATTGCTTTTTTATTGTATTTTTTTAGCTGTTTTTGTGCTAACCATCTAGCCTGGCCACTACAGTATTGCACTTTACAGGTCAGATTTGGGCATTTCCTCTCACTACAGGTAAAAGGAATATAACAAAAACATATGTGACAACAATGTTAGGATATTACTAATAGTGACTTATGTTCTGTTGGAAACAGTTTGATACCAAATTGAAATGTTATGACTCATGAAGTGTTTCTTAAAAATCCATATCCTTTGTGGTCAAACTGTATCCACCCTAACAATCCTAATGTTGGTCCACTTTGGACCAACAAACAATTTGTCACGTAAGAATGTATTCAGTGAAAGTCAGAAAGAATATTAATTTCATCTGTCATCATTATCATCATACTGTAGCTCAATTTTGGCTTTAAAGGGACAGTTGGGATCTCTTAAAGCGGGGTTGTATGAGGTACTCCATCGTCGGTGTGTTGTCTAGATGGCTGTCAGTACGCCGCTGATTTGGAAAAGCACTACAGCTAGAAGTCGCTCTCAGCTGACATTGCCCCCTGACCGACTAATTTCTCCGTGGGGGCATTATGCTTCCACGGAGAAACAGTCGGCCATCGATCACCCCTGCAGGTAAACAATGTTACCTCTGTCGGCACTGCTGTCATTGTTTGCACTGTTAACACCGATAACTGCAAGCCACCAGCTCAGCCGTTGCAATGTTGAGAGCTGTGTGGAGATATACTCTGAATTTCAAATTTAGCCCAATTTAAAGTAATAACCTCAAAGATTATTATTTAAGTGTCTGTAAAGTCCCTATATATGGCAGAATGAGGTAACACAACAGGCATTGAGCCTATGGCCCACCGATGAAAGACATTTTGCATTTACAGTATTACAAACTGGGTGTCTGTGGCGACATACAGGGAAAAATCACAAGCGGGGAACACTGTTGGGCTCTCTGGGAAGTGTGAGTCAAAAAGACACCTACAATAAGGCAACTGTTTATAGGTGCCCCTCTTTGAGATTGATATTAAGGCAGCACTTTGTGTGTTGCCCAATAGGACACAAAGAGGTGTTTAATTTTGTTAAGTGTAAATTAATGTTGACTGTTTTTTATTTGTGAAAGGAAACTATAGCCTATCTAAATAAAGACTGTAGCTGAAGAACAAAGGAACCTAGGCTATTAATAAAATGCAATGCTACAAAATCACAATAATAACTTTGAGATTCAGACCCATGTTTAATATATTCTGTGTTGTCCAGATATGACAATGCTATGACAGGGGCAGCAGCACTAATGTTGCTCGGAAATAGAAAAAGAAAAAAAGGCCGGTGGGAGGGGTACAAAAGTAGATCTGCACCGCCCAGGCAGCTCAAAAGTTTGGAAAGTCCTGACATCGTTACATCGGCCACATCCTCGCCCGTGGATTACAAAGCCTTACTTTATTCAAGAAAGCCACCCTAACCTGAAAAGTAAGTTTGGAGGTTCGTGACTTTTGTTTTAAGTCTGCCGTATTTCCACAGGGATGTGTGTGGTCCATTTTATTTCCGTGGTAGCCTAGGGGGCAGTAAAGCAGCCATGCTCTGTCCTTAATCCTCGACCAGTCCGTGTTATGTCTGCTTTGCGATGATTGGCCGATCAAATAACATATATATAAGTGCTTAGTATTAGATTTGTGTAAACAAGGAGTTATGGCCAAAATGTCGATACTCGTATAAGGGATCTACTTTCATATCACTGTTTTGCCTCATTAAGTCCATCCTTAGCAGTTTACAAGTGTTTATTGGTGGACTCTTTTTTTGTTTTTGTTTCACCAGTTCAGCCTATTTATGGATTTTTTTTAAAGTACACTTTTAGTGATTAAGACAGTTTTCTCCTGCAGTAAGAGGTGCGCGGGGAAATAACGTGACTGTTTTCCTTTGGAAGTGCATCAACAGTTTACACAGGCTCTTCCTTTCCCTCTATATGAATCATATAACAAGAGCAGTCTCCTCCTTATCTGATGTCGGCATTGTGATATTATTTAAAGAAAGCGATGCCGTAGTGCTTCCTGCAACAGTGGGCCAGAACTTAGTGACCACCAGATAACCCTTGGGTTCAGACCCTCATTGTGCGCCAGGAAGGCGAAACATAATTATTGCGGGATTGTCTCAGGAGGAAAATCCTGTCATCTCACTGGAGGAATTTCAAACATTTAAGCAACTCCTCCGCTGTCAGTGTTGAATAGGTTGTTTAAGTGACCGATGCCCTGGGTGCTCTCAATTACTTTGTTGCATGACGCTAATAAAATATGGTTATTGATGATAAAACTGCACTTTTTATATTCATGTACAATACTTTTGCCCACATGTGTGGCTGATATGGGATATATGTGTGTTGGATAACAGGAGATAGATGTGCTTACACTACTTGTTTTGACATTGTATGCTGAGTAAGAAAGTGACATAAGATTGGCAGCTGGTCACATCCTTGTCAACCATCATATCTCCTCATTGAATTCCGGCCTCTTTTCTTTTTTTTTTTTTTTTGCCTTAAAGACTGGAGTTGTCTGCTCTTCCGCCGTCACAGTCACTGCTGCTCTGCCACTAGACGAGGACTCTCCAGCCTCTGCCCGAGAAGCTTCACACCCCAGAGACCCAGACTCCGCTTCTACCGGCACCTCGAACGTAAACTTAACAGAGATGGAAGGTCACGTGGCGCGGTTTGCACTTCTTCTGTGCATCACGGCTGCAGCCTCTGGTAAGTCTACCAGCTGATGTTCAGCGTTTTCAGCATTTAGATCTTATGTCGCTGGGTTATAAAACGTGCATTTATTGAAAAGGGTATAACCTCAGACAACAAACCACAGGCCGCATGGGTTTAGTGGCTATTGAGCCCCCAGGGCATATTTCTGTCGACCCAAAGTTCAAAGGGAGATATTAATCTTGTCCCATCTTCTGTTCTTCCATAATTTCATACTGAAGACTATTATTTCGCTCTTTTTTCTTCTTCTTCTTGTTTTAACTTGCACGATAAATCAGGATTTTACTACCGATCTGTAGAGAGAGGTTATGTGCAAAATAGTTGTTGTGAAGTCTTTTGGCTTGAATGATGGTTTATCCTTACAACAGCTCAGAGATTATATAGTGCACAATATTTTTGATAGAGTAGGGAAATAAATCCGATGATACTCAGACTATTGAACCTCTGATTCATCTTGGGGAGCAATTGTTTGTGTAGTTGTTCAGGTTTTAGTGATGGAGAATATGTTATTGAAAGACGGCCCGGGCACAAGGCACAAGGAAACGTGTGGGGAGCTTACACGTTTCATATGATCCTCCTCTGCTGGCCCCCTCTAGCACTCCCTCCACGGGTTGTCTGTGGCTATCCATATCGAATTCAAACCTGTAATCCCTATAAGGTGGCAAAGAGATCTGAAACTATCCCTGTGCCCTCAGGCCATAATCCAGCCTCACACTGTTAACAGTGCTCTGCACTGCAGCCTCGGGGTGTTTGGGTCTCACTTCCCTGCAGTAATCTGGCATCTGTGGTCACATGGATTCAATAAATAAAACAATGCTAATTAATGTATTTTATTACTACCTTGTTGTGCAAATATCTTCAATACATAGATGTAATGTATGGTATATAAAGTTTTTAGTCAAAACTTTTATATAATTTTAGGTAGATATTCGAGATTAACTGGTCTTTTCAACCCTATAAATCTTATGCTATATAGTTTTAGACAAACTGTACCACTATCTGAGTGTATCTGAGTGACAATTATGATAAAAGTAATAAAGATGTACACTCTCTGTTCTCAGCAGCTTTTTTTTTATTTTGGTAAGAGAATGTATAGAAAGAAAATCCCCTCACACTCTAAATGCCATAAAAGAAAGCATAATGCACACTGCTGTTATGTAGTAGTTCTCACAGACTGTCAGCAAAATAAGGTTGTCCGCATTCATTTTCCAAGCTGGCACAAACACTTCAGTGCCAAATAACCTTTTTCACACCCTGTCTCTCTATACTAAAATAATAAACTGGCATTTCCAACTTACTTTTAAATTGGCCCTGGCAGGCATACATCACTGTTATGATCATGTGCCAGAAAAAACATGCCTGTCCACTAAATCTGTCTTCAGTGCTGACCTACTGTATGTCAAATCACAATATAGCCACAAGTGTTAAAACACCCCCTCAGCATGGGGTGCTAATGGCAGGGATACAGAGGTATACTTATGGCCAACTGGCAGACCTGCGGAGAGTTGACCTCATGAAGCTTCCACCGCAGGGGATCAGTCTCACTGTCTGCTGGTGGAGTCTTCAAGGAGATGTTCAGTTTAGCCTTAATTGCCTGCGACAAAATAGACCTGAAATCATTTTCTTTATTTCTTGAAAGAGGTTCCAAGGATTTTTCCTTTCCTTCTTCTTCTCTTAATTTCTTTCCGGCAACACCATCTTTAGAAGAAGACCCAGACACTGTTCTCAGACAGCAGTGTCCTCTGACCCTGTGCACTGAATGTTGATGCATTAATCAAAACATTGCTGTGACATGTATACATTCCTCTATCTCAGGCATTGTGTATTTGTCATTATATAGTTCAGTGTTGTCACATTAATTTGTAATTTTCTCTGACATTGTCTCCTGGGCTTAGTACTATTGTTGTTGTTGAACAAATAAGGCACAAACATCAGGTGTGACTCATTACGGCCAAGAGTATACTCCATACAAAATGAAATTTGCACGCTCCCAGACTGAGTGAGGTGCTGTGAAAACTCACTGAGATTTGAGGTTTGTTTGTTTAACAGCATCCTCGCCAGTTGCGAATCAGTGTGGGAGCAGACGCGATGTGAAAGTTTTTTTTTTCTTTTAAAAGAAGAAGTAAACAGAAAAAGTAAATCAAAAATAGCCTGCAGCCTGCAACAAATCCCACGTCTCTCTTGGCCAGTTGCAGGCAATGGTATGGAGTCTTACTTGAGCTTTAGCTTTGTTTCTCCTGTCAGCTCCTTGATATCAGGCTTATTAAATCCTTTTGTGATGTCTGAGGCACGCTTTGAATGTACAGCAGCTACTGCGCTCACAATTTAAGAAACCTGAACACTTGTCTACTTTATCTGTTAATATCCTAGGTACATAACATGTATGTGTATATTTATATAAATAAATACCTTGCCAAGGGACCAAGTCTGAGACTTGTATATACTTATCCGCTTCATTTCCTGGAACTGGAACCTTGAGCCCGCTGCCCTGTCTTCTGCTGTCATGCATTTATTTATTTTTTGGAGAGATGCAGTATCATGACTGGTCGATTAATGAGGGAATTGGTGTTGTGCAGTTTAAACACCATCAGATCGCTTGGCAATAGTTTTTCTTTAATAGACTACTTCCATGGTTATAGACTTTTTGCTTAATTTGAAATGTTCTGGGGTACATTGTTAAGTTGTTCTAATATCAGCCAGTGGACGTATCAGTACTGTTGCAGCAGCCCGAGATAAAGTATCTAGATAATCTGACCAATTTTGCAAAATGTAAAGACTGTAGTTGATGGAAATTGCTGGATGATTCACAGCCTTCTCCAGCGATTATCGGAGTAAAACTGCGGTTTTGTGATTAAGTCCACCAGATCAACTTCTTAAGTCCCAACACTCATTTTCTGTCTGCCTATCTAAAACCGCAGGCAAAAGAACCCAGACACAGCTCTTACTTCTACCCTGGAATTTGACATGAGATCCTGTTTTTCATCAGCTCTGGATTATTTATAAAATCGCCCACTGCCTATTTCTTTTAAACCTAGAGAAGCTCATCCTTGCTTTCACCTTACACCTTGATTATTAAAATCCCTGATGTGCTGGGATCAGTCACAAGAAAGAGATCAGTCTCTTTCTTGTCTACAGCGCATCCATAATCTCTGGACAGGCCTCTGTCAGGCGCCAATAAAACAGACAACAGCACAGCAGTCTTAGTTTCATTACACTGCCTCCCCTGTGAGGTTAATTGTGTTAAAAATGTATCTGTTTGTTTTGAAGTTCCTACATGGTCCAGCCTACAGGTTTATCTCTGAGTGCTTATGGTGCCACAATTCGTCTAAATCCCTTTAGTCATTTAACTGTGGTATTTGTTTGTGGCAAGATCATACAGGTGGCGAGGCCTTTGAAATAGTGGAATTAATTCTCCCTCCATGTTTTGTCCTTGCTTTATGATAAAACATGCTAACGGCTTACCTTTTCTTCCAGGCTCCTATCTGTGCCTCTTTCAATTTTTAGTTTGGACATCAGTCTTTTGTTAATCTTTCTTTCTTTCAGTCTGTTGCAACACTCTCTTGCAATTGTGTTGTTTAAAGAATGTATTTCATTTGCCACCTTTCACTATGGATGTGATAACATCTGCCTCAGACAGGACAAAGCACATCATTTTTACACATCTCTCGGAGGGTTACTGCTGACATTTAGTATTTGTCATGCATAAAGTTGGGGGATAGATTAAAAAAGATAGCACAGGCCGAGATATTCCGACTTCTAGTTGGTTTTATGGTGCAAGCTCCAATGTCGCTCCAAAAACAAAAAAACGCTCTATTTCTCCATCTTCTCATGGTGGACTGAAGACAGACACAACACTACAGTGACTCACTACTGCCTCTAGAGGTACAAGTGGTATTACAAGACTGGACGGGCCGGGGCTAGCTGGTCTGTGCGCTCATTTCAGTAGATAACTGCAACACAATAGCCATCTTCAACATAATGTAAATACTGTTACCACTTCACATTCGTTTTCTTTTTTTTTATGTTTTAGACAAAAAATTCTGGTCATATCTTACCGTACATATTGCACATTATTTAAGTGAAAGTTTTGAGATTCTGTCTGGACCTAGCTGCTTATTAAATGGGAGTTAGTTATATAAGACGTTTTTCAATTTCATATTTCCGGGCTATTTCAGAATTGCAAGCACAATAACTGCTACCACTTAAGCTGCCTGTAGCAGTCGGACACAAACAATTATCTATGCGTCTGACTGAAGTCTTTGCATTTTGTGATTTTATCCACTGTGTGCCCAGCGTTTCCTGGTAGGGAAGTAGTGTTGAACATGCCCCTTTCTGCAACAACTTTCCCAGCGGGAGCCAGGCATCATGATGTTAACTACCAGACCTCCTGCTACATTTCTGCCTACCCCAGAGTCTCCCTCCACGGGCTAAAGGAAAAGCACAAAAGTGATTAGCGAGCCGCTGGAGAAGAAGGGAGGGCCGTCTGAAAATGAATCATAAAGAGGGAAAGAGAGCGAGACAGACAGACAGACAGACAGAGATAACAGAATTCATAAAGACTGATTCATGGAGACAGTAAGGGAGTGGGGGGGTCAAATTTCTGTGACTGTCAAAGAGCAGATAAGTGGTTCAGAGGAAAGATGTGGGGAAAGAGAAGTAAGTAGCTAGGGGATTAAAAAAAAACACAGATAGGAAAAAAGGACAAGACGGAGATAAAGACCGGGAGATATGGAGACCCAGTTAAATGATAAGTTAGAAAAAGTGAGGATAAAAGACTAAGTTGTTCAACAAAATATGTTGAAAAATACGAAACAAACAACGCATGTGTTAAAAAAAATGATGACCAAAGTTCCTCAGAAGGCAGGCAGGCAATACTGAAATAGGCTTAAAGAAAAAAGGAAAAAAAGCCATGTTAAATATGGCGTTGAAAGTCAAAACAGTCCACTTCCCCCGTTTTACTGCAGTGAGCCAGCTCTGCCTGCCGTCAGACTGGGTGG